TCTCTCTCAAATAAATAAATAAAATCTTTAAAAAATAAAAATAAAATAAATAAAAAATAAAAGCCAAGATAGGCCAAAACCTAGGCCTCTTGTGCCAAACATTAGCCAAGCTGTGATTGCAAAGGGGAAGTTCTTAAAGGAAATTAAAAGTGCTGCTCCAGTGAACACACAAATGATAAGAAAGTGGAACAGTCTTATTGCTGATATGGAGAGAGTTTTTGTGGTCTGCACAGAAAAATCAAACCAGCCACATTCCCTTAAGCCAAAACCTAATCTAGGGCAAGGCCCTAACTCTCTTCAATTCTGTGAAGGCTGAGACAGGTGAGGAAGCTGCAGAAGAAAAGTCTGAAGCTAGCAGAGGTTGGGTCACGATGTTTAAGGAAAGAAGCCGTCTCCACATCAAAGTGCAAGGTGAAGCAGCAAGTGCTGATGGAGAAGCTGCAGCAAGTTATCCAGAAGATCTAGCTAAGATCATTTATGAAGGTGGCTGCAGCTTTTCAGTGTAGACTAAATAGCCTTCTGTTGGAAGAAGATGCTATCTGGGACTTTGATAGCTAGAGAGAAGTGGACACTGGCTTCAAAGCTCCAAAGGCCAGGCTGATTCTCTTGTTAGGGGCTAACACAGCTGGTAACTTTAAGTGGAAGTCAGTGCTCATTTACTATTCCAAAAATCCTCAGGCCCTTCAGAATGATGCTAAATCTACTATGCCTGTGTACTATAGATGAAACAACAAAGCCTGGATGATAGCACATCTATATATGACATAGTTTACTGAATATTTCAAGCCCACTGCTGAGGCCGACTGCTCAGAAAAAGCGATTCCTTTCAAAAGAATACTCTAAGCAATTTTACTAAAAGGCCCAGGAAATTTGCTTTGAGAATGCATAGTCAAGTTTGATATAGAAAGCTTTTAAAAGCTTCAGAGTTCTCTAAACAAGTTAAATTATCTCCAAACAATTGAAGAATTTACTATCATAATTCACTAACTGAAGAAAAAGTTTTAGGAAAAACCATTGGCTTGTTTAATCACAGATATATAATAAATGATGACATAGTTATGAACTTTTATTATTTCTCTAAAATGAGGAAGTATGGTATATCACAGGTCATGGGGCCAATGAACAAATACCAACTACTTATGACAGGAAAGACAAGCCAGGATTTAAAATGGACTGGACTTCTACCTCTTTTTGAGTCATTTTATACTTTATCCCAAATCTGAATAAGTAAGAACAATTACAAGTGTTTTAAACTTCTTTTCATCTGATCTACTCTTATACCCTTCTCTAGTAGGAAATAGTGTCACTGGTGGAAACAGGAACAAAGTTCTCTCTATTCCTCCTATGCTTTGCGCTAAAAATATTTCAAATAGAAGTCTTGAGGAGAACTGAAGTGCCTATACATAGAAAAGAAAAATCAGGTAATGGGTAAGGACTGGAAAGAGAAGCCACAGACATGCACGGGATTCATCAATGAGGTCTGTGAAGAACAATATAGAAAGGAAGTAATTTTATTTTGTGGAAGTTAGCATTGTGGCACTGACATTTATACTTCAACTGAAATTAAAGCATCCTGCAAAAGGTTTGACTCATTACAACTTCAAATCTAAGTATAACAAACACAAGCCAAAGTGTTACTTGATGATACTTATTTAACCGTCATCTGCTAAAGTTTAAAAAAAAATCCGTAATATTAAAAAGAGCAGAGTTAACGAAATACTTACTCCGAACTTCGTACTGATTGTACTCCACTGTCTTCAGCAGAGGGTGGGAGAAGCAGTGCCATGGTAGCTGTTTTCTGAGTTGAGGCAGCACATAATGGGTTACAAAACCCACAAAGCCGACCAATGCATACAACACATACTTGAGAGCAGGCTAAAAGAAGAATAAAATTAGGAAAATTAAAAGTGATTTTGAGACCCACAGAACTTCTAATTTGTCAGTTCAATTTTCTACTTATTAACAGAAAATAGCAAAGTCAATTTTTGAATCTAAGAACCAAACATTTGTCAACAGTTAACACTGCTTTCTTATGTGGCTTTTCCAAAACTTGTACCAGGGTTGCCCTTATGATCAATAGGTACAGAAGAAGTGGTGGTATGTCACATCTAACATCAATTATAAAAGACTGCAGCTTCTGTCTTGGGCTTTCTCTCTCTAGGACCACTGGCTCTGGGGAAACCCAACTGCCATTTTGTGTGGATACTCAAAGCAGCCTATGGCGAGGGCCACATGGAGAGGAATTCAGATCTCTGGCCAATGGCCGGCAAAGAACTAAGGCCTGCTAACAGCCTTGGTTGATGGCAGCCCCATATGACTGCAGCATTAAACACAGCCCAAACTGGGATCATCTAGCTAAGCTACAATCAGATTCATGACCCAGAGAAACCATGAAAAAATAAATATTTGTTGTTAAAACTGAATAAACGAAGTCATAAATTTCAGCATTATGGACAAATATTACAATCAAATAAAAAAATGAGTCTAAACAGTTATTTTCCCCCAATCAAAAGATCAAAATGATTCTTTACCTGCAATACTGTGAACACTGTGCTTACATGAATAGCAAAATATAGCACACCAATTACGATGCATACTACTAGGTCAGACTGTAAACGCTCACTCTGTGGAACAAAACAGAATTATCCAACAGTTACATAAAATTTAAAAATATGTATTTCTTTCATTCCCACTGACAAAGTAATAATTTTTCATCGATCCTATTCTAGAGAGTTCTTACATATAATAATTGGCTATAAGTTTTTCTTCCCCAATTTCCTGATATTCTGGTTTGACACTATAATACCAAGGAAATGAAACTAGTTCTACACACTATATAACATATTAAAACAAAGTCTTTTATTTATTTTATTTTAAAAGATTTTATTTTTTACATAATCTCTACACCCAACATGGGGCTCAAACTCACAACCCTGACACCGAGTCCTATGCTCTACTGATTGAGCCAGCCAGGTGCCCCTATAACAAAGCCTTTTAGAATGAAGACTTTTTCTCCCATTGATCTGTAAGTTTGATTTTTACATATGGGAAAAGGAAATGAGGTACTTAAGTCATTGTATTAGTTACAGAGGATACTCTTTTGGATAACGAAGTTACATTTTCATTGATTTTTTAAAATGTTGAAACTGCATGTCTTATTTTACTTACTGGATTTTGATTCTTTTAGTGGTTGCAGTAAACCAAAACGTCTCAATATCATGACTGGTCATCAACTGACCCGCAGATTTATGCTAATTTTAAGCTAGATTCAGAAATATCTTACTACATTTAACATGAAGTGTCCTTTGCTAGCATGGAAACTAAAGTCAGAAAAAATTGTTTGAATGCTATCCTGAAACAGTTTTGTATTTCTAAAGTTTCTGAGAGGGCGCCTGGGTGGCTCAGTTGGTTAAGCGACTGCCTTCGGCTCAGGTCATGATCCTGGAGTCCCTGGATCGAGTCCCGCATCGGGCTCCCTGCTC